GGTGGGCTGGGGGACATCGGGTGGGTGGCTCTGTGCCGTGCCAGGTGCAGGGTCTGCTAGCTGGGTGCTGGCAGGCTTGCACCTGGCACGGGCCCCGTAGCCAGCCTGTGCCCCTTTAAGGGGTCCGGGGCCGGGAGGAGGGCAATAGAGTTTCCCTGGTGTTGGCCAGAGTGGCCACCAGGGAAAGCTGGGGAGGGCTAGCCTTCCACTAGTTCGAATTAAGGGGCTACACAGCCCTTAATTCGAACTAGTAAGTTCGAACTAGGCTTAGTCTTCGTAAAATGAGGTTTACCTAGTTCGAACTAAGCGCTCCGCTAGTTCGAATTAAGTTCGAACTAGTGGAGCGCTAGTTTAGCGCCTATCAAAGTTAATTCGAACTAACGTCCATTAGTTTGAATTAACTTTGTAGTGTAGACATACCCTAACAGATTTATATTTAGTGCCTAGGGACCCCAACCAAGATCATGGCTCTCGGATGGTAGGTGCTGGACAGTCACATAAAAAAGGGTCTACAACAGAGTTTATAATACAGCTAGATGAAGGTTGGTAGAAATGTATGATACATTCCTACTGTGCAGGAAAGAGAACAATAGCTTCAGATAGATGACATTTACCCATACTTGGTCGATAATACTGGACTTATTCACTTTCACAGATCTCTTCTTGTCCCATAATGAACTGAATGGAGCAGTCTGTCAAGGTGTGAGAGATCCCAGCTTGTAATAGCAAGTGTGAAAAATTGGGCAAAGACACAAATATCAGAACTGTCCCTAGAAAATCAGGCTGTCTGGTCACTCTAGTCTAGGCTGCAAACACTGAAGAATCAAAACCCAGGAAAGCAAGAAAAAAGACATCTGAAGGGATAAAAAGGGACATTCTCAAGGACTGGGTTGCCGGGAGTTGCTGATGAGAAATGGTTCTTGTGTTGATCAAGAGGTCAGGTGTCTGGAATAGGGATGGCAACCCCCCAGGTAAGATAAACATTTAGATAGACATCATATTATTTTAAACTCTTTTTTTCTGATGCTTTTCCGGGTTCCTACTGTTAAGTTTAAAAAACACTTTTTTAAAAAGAAAGCTGCCTGGTCACTGCTCCCCAAACTCAGTCAGGCCTAAGACATCCCAGTAGCCAGGCTGTCATAGCTTGGGCACTGCATGAATTGTGGGATTCCACCTTCAGAAACATAAAGCAATGAGGCCCAACAGTGAGGGGATGTGCTCAGAGAGACCAGACAAGGATCTTGTAACTGTGATAAGTAATATGGGTAATGTTTTAGACTCTGCCAAACGCCAGTGATGAACAGTGCCCATCAACAACCTCCCCAGCTTTCCTTCCTCAAATACCGTGTAAAAAATTATTTACTATCATGGTTGGGCTGCCGATGGGGGGAGCGAAGGGGACAGTTGCCTCAGAGCCCAGCAATTTAAAAGGGCTTAGGGTTCCCAGCCATCATGACTCATACAGCAGCAGCCGGAAACCTGGGTCCCATAAATTGTGGCCGGCGTCCCATGTGGCATGGTCCAGACAATGCTGAGGGCTGTCTAGGGGAGGCTAGCTTTTTGACAGTCTGTCATGAGACTGGCACTCATAGCCACGAGCAACTCCAAACAGCATGACAAATATCACAAGCTTCTATTATATTTTTAAGTGAGATCACTTTTTGAAATTTACTCATTTGGGAATTTATTTAAACTTTTTATTTATTTTTACATTTTTAATTTAGATTTCATTATCCATGGGGAAAAAACCACAATTGTCTACAAGAAATTACTGTCCATTCTAAAAACAGAAATGATGGAGAAAGAAAACATATTTAAACATCAGCCTCAGTAACAGAAACCTCTGTAATACAACTGATTGAACCTTTTCCTCTGAGAGTAAAAAAAATTGTTTGACTGGGTCTCCATAAAAGTTAGTAAAACTGCTGCACAACTTTCACAATATCAAAAGTGTAAATTAGGAGTACAGGCAGTCCCTGGGTTACGTACAAGATAGGGACTATAGGTTTGTTCTTAAGTTGAATTTGTATGTAAGTCGGAACTGGTACATACTGTAGGGGAAACTCTAGCCAAACATTTCTCCAGAGCTCAGTTTTATTCTCCCACACCTCACTTCCCTCAGTCCTTTTTTCTCAAGCTGAGGTGTCTGCTGAGAAAAGCCATTCCGCGTCTCCCTGCTCTGCTGGGGGGGCGCGCTAGCTTCGCGTCTCCCTGGTCTGCTGGGGGGAAGCAGCTAGCGCGGGGTTGCCTCACCCCGTTTGTAAGTAGGGATCCAATGTAAGTCGGATCCATGTAACCCGGGGACTGCCTGTAACACCATTTACATAAGAACAGCTATGCTGGCTCAGACCAAAGGTCTATCTAGCCCAGTATCCTGTCTTCCAATAGGCCAATGCCAGGTGCCCCAGAAGAAATGAATATAACAGGTTATCCTCAAGTGATCCCACCCTGTCACCCATTCGCAGCCTCTGACAAACAGAGAGTAGGGACACCATTCCTGCCCATCCTGGCTAACAGCTATCTATGGACCTGTCCTCCTGAATCAATCCAGCTCTTTTTATAATTATATTATAGTCTTGACTTTATAATATCCTCTGGCAAAAATTTCTGCAGGTTGACTCTGCACTGTGTGAAGAAATATTTCCTTTGTATGTTTAAACCTGCTACTTATTAATTTCATATGGTGACTCCTAGTTTTCTGTTATGGGAAGGAGTAAATATCTCTTCTTTATTTACTTTTACCACAACAGTCATGATTTCACTAGGAGGGTGGTGAAGCACTGGAATGGGTTACTGAGGGAGGTGGTGGAATCTCCACCCCTAGAGGTTTTTAAGTCCCGGTTTGACAAAGCCCTGTCTGGGATGATTTAGTTAGGGTTGGTCCTGCTTTTTTTGGGGGTGGAAGGAGGAGCTGAACTCGATGACCTCCTGAGTACTCTCACCTCATATGGCAGGCATTCCAAACCCCTACTCACGTTTGTTGTCCTTTTCTGAACTTTTTCCAGTGCCAAGATATCTTTTTTAGATGAGGCAAATACATCTGCACACAATATTCAAGAGGTATATAGAAGCAATAAGATATTCTCTGTGTTACTCTCTATTTCATTCTTAATGATTCCTAATCATTCTGTTTACTTTTTTGACTGCTGCTGTACATTGAGTGGATGTTTTCTGAGAACTATCCACGATGCCGCCAAGATCTCTCTTGAATTGTAATAGCCAATTTAGTCCATATCGTTTTATATATATAAAGTTGGGATTATATTTTCCAATATGCATTACTTTGCATTTATCAACATGCAAATTCATCTACCATTTGATTGCCCAGTCACCTAGTTTTGTGAGAGTCTTTTGAAGCTCTTTACTGTTTGCTCTGGACTTAACTTTCTTAATAAGTTTTGAATCTTCTGCAAATTTCACTGTTTACCCCTTTCTCCATATCATTTATGAATATGTTGAATAGAACTAGGCCCGGTATGGACCCGTGAGGGACATTACTAATTACCTCTCTCCATTTCTCTCAATAGGCGTTCAATTGTGTAAAGGAGATCAGAATCAGACCCAATATCTATGAAATTGATGAACAAGAATTGGGACACACCAAATTGCTTATTGTTTAGGTAAGGGAATAATGTCCAATTCAATAGGGGAATCCCTAAACATTTGAAATAAGAACATAAGAACAGCCATACTAGGTCAGACCAAAGATCCATCTAACTAAGGATACTATCTTCCAACAGTGGCCAATGCCAGATGCCCCAGAGTGAGTGAACAGAACAGGTAACCATCTAGTAATCCCTCTAATGTCATCTATTTCCAGACCTGACAAACAGGCTAGAGACACCATTCCTACCCATGGGGAAGGGACTTCATATCACTGATTGGATAAAGCTCTCATGTTCTGCTGCATCTAACTGCCCTGACACAATATGTTAATATTGCTGTTTAGGAACATTTCATGCAGAAAAGGTGCATGAGATTCAGAACTGGTAATTTCAGTGGAATGAAAGTTCCAGTGTAATGCACATATCAATTTAAAACTGATAGAAGAAAACCCCATTCTGCATGAAATAACAGATAGGACTTTAAAAATATATATAAAAATTATTCCACTTCTTTAAATAACAGACCGTTATCACTGTTTTTATGATGATTAACAATGTAATCAAGTTTGCTTGCATTTATGTAATTTGTCTAACTGAAAAATAATTAAGTACATCACATACCATATTTATTATAGTGAGGATGTAGGATTCCACATTGTCACTTCCATGATATTCAATCATTTTACTGTCTGCAACAACAAGCGTCTCCACCCATCGTTCCTTGCTGACAGAACGCCGAGAAATCGTTTTGACTGCTCTGCGATTTCCTTCCCACTTCTCCCTCCAATGCTCTTGTTGTTTGAAAAAGCTGAAGGTATCTGGAATGTTAAAGGGCATTGATTTAATTTTTCATGGAGATATTGTGCTTCAGGATCACTTTAAATTTTTAAATGTCTTGTGGTAATACTTATAGGTAAGTCAGACCTCTACAGATTGAGTCCAAATCAAATGGATCCAAACTTTACTAAAAAGACAGGAGTGCTTGGATCCCAGGTATTGATTGTGCCCATGACAGGGCAGAGGCCAGCTGCAATGTTTAGATCTGGGTACAAATCTTTCCAACATACAAGAGATATTGAGCTCTGTCATTTAGTATCAAGGCCATCTTTAATTACAGCAATTCTTAGTACAAAATTAAAGGCTTATACGCTTAGTTCCTATCAGGGTGGTAAATTAAATCCAGTCCTTGAGGGGCATGCGCATGAACAGGCTATGACAGACCCCCAGATAGAATTCTGAGTAATGAATCTGTTTCACCAGCAGTGGGGCATAATGGCCGCAAGGGGTCAGTAGTGGTATTGGTGGGATGAATTCAAAATAAAGGGTACTGTAAATGTACAATGTACAACTACTGGTGTCTGTACAGTTTCAGCAGGCCAAGAAGATAGGAGTGAAGGGGTGCCCTTGTGATGGGGTGAAGGAACCCCGCATTCTAGGAGGGCTCTGTGAGGGTCCGCAAGAGGGGGAATTGCAGGGGCTGCACGGCAGCAGAAGCAGCGTGGGCAGAGAAACCTGCACCCCCGCAAAAGCCACGTCCGGAGCCAAGAGAGCCACCAGTGTAGGCGCACTAGAGGGGAGACCAACTGCTCCAGTGGCGCCGGTGGCTGATGTCACCTGCTGAGCCAGTGGGGAACTTGAAATGGGGCTTGGATCTGAGGGAGAGGAGAGAGGAGGTGAGAATGCACCAGCGGTGAGTGGGGAAGGGCTATATGTGGCTGGGGAGGAAGCGGCCCAGGGCAGGGCCGTGGAACCCATCAGCGGGCATGTTTGGGGACCACAACCCCATCCGCTGGTCAGGGACTGGCATCCCTGCCTTAGGGCCCTGGGTCGGGACCCGGGAGAGAGGGCGGGCCCCAGTCCCCCTACCCCGCCACTGGGGCTCGGCGATTTGGGAACTTTTAGCGCACAGCGGTATTGTCTATGAAGTTGTCAGGAGGACTTTGACTATGTAATTGGTATTGAACTGATTTATTAAGTTGATGAATTAAGGGCACATAGAGGGCGGGGGGAGTACAAGTGGTATGTAATAAAGTGTTTATTGGGGACCCAGATTGAGAGTGGCTCCCTTCCGTGGTCAGGCCTTGGTACAGCCCTGTTATACCCTTATTTAATAAATCAATACAGCTTGCTATTAGAGTTGGCTAAGTGATAAATTTACATTGCCATCATGCTTGAGCTAGATCCTCCTTCATACCATTTATTTTCCAGCCTTTGGTCAGTAACTCTGATAGCTTCACTTTAAAAAAAATGATTTAAATTAATCTTCAGTTTGATCACACTCTTCAATCCCACAGCATCAGTGCAACAAATTGTCAAGTCAATTTTTCCGCAAACTTCTCTCTCAGAGAGATTGGATTCCCCTTACATAAATGACATTTGACATGATTTGACTGTCACAACCAAGGCCCTTTTTTCACTTTGTCTCTTACAGATTGTGCTCAAGGAAAAATGAATGCTGTGTGCAGTGTACCACTCTGGGACCTCAGAGTGCCCAGAAACACAACCAGAATCAGTTAGGGTATGTCTACACTGCCACCCTAGTTCGAACGAGGGTGGCTAATGTAGGCATTCGAAGTTGCAAATGAAGCCCGGGATTTAAATATCCCGGGCTTCATTTGCATCTTGCCGGGAGCCGCCATTTTTAAATCCCCATTAGTGCAGACTCCGTGCCCACGGCTACACATGGCATGGAGTAGATAGTTCGAATTAGGCTCTCTAAGAGGTGTACTGGTAGTTCGCGGTAGAGAGCTGCGGGCATGGAGTCTGCACTAACGGGGATTTAAAAATGGCTGCACCCGGCAAGATGCAAATGAAGCCCGGGATATTTAAATCCCGGGCTTCATTTGCAACTTCGAATGCCTACATTAGCCACCCTCGTTCGAACTAGGGTGGCAGTGTAGACAGACCCTTAGAGAGTAAAGATGCATTCAACATTGCAGGATATCCTCAACCCTTGTAGGTTCCGCTCAAGTATGTCTCACTACAAGAGCTCTGGAACAGATTAGAATGGGTTTAGGGCAAACACTGGCATATGCAGCCTGAAACGCATCTAGAAAAACCAGTCTTTTACCCCTCAATTTACTTCTACTTCTCACAAACCAAATACTCTCTCATGTTTATTATTTTAATTTGTTCACACTAGAAACACTGAATCATCAATATGAGGCAATAGGACATTGTGGTAGAATAAACCACCCCACACCATTCAAAGCATCCTGCATTACTATTTTAATTATAATCCTCATTTGGGGCCTTTGTCCCTAATTTGGGTGTAGGCAAGAAGTACTATCACTGTAGACGTGTCGTGATTAATTCTAATCTGTTGCAATTCCTATGATCCAGTCTTAGACATTTGCTGCCACCACCAAGCATCTCTTCTGGAAATTTTACATCCAGGAACTCTTCTCTCTGTTACCTTGTTATAAGGATTCTATTCCTACATAACCATCTTTATATACTTCTGTCAAATACTCTATGAAAAAAGTTCTTATGTAAATTAGCTTGAAAATTAAAAATTCCTATTAAAAATCCCCATTAAAATTGTATTTGCATGCTACTTTATCTCTATAATTAAACCATGAAAGACATGTTTTTCTTAGCACAATATCACAGCAATATTTCCTAGCTAATGCACTGAGAATGAGCTTTTTAATATGAAGCCTATATAATTCCCAGTTTCTGTCAAAGAGAAGGCTCAGGACATTTCAGAGCATGGTTTCCAAGATCTCTTTCTTGAGCAGTCTTGGAATCATTGTGAATAGTTCTCTGAAAACATGCACTCAATGTGCAGCAATGGTAATAAAAAGCTAAGAGAATATTGGGAATCAACTGTGATGACCCTCCACCCTAAGCCCTCTGAGAATTGTTTTTTTAATATGAATATGCATAACTCAAAGATGCTTTATGCAAAATAGGTCATGTAAAATCAATTATACAGTTACAATCTGCTAGATCTGCATATCCTATTTTAGTGCATATATCTTTTTGTATATGAAGGTAAAAATATGTAGTGTGGATCTGTTTATAGTTCTAAATGTGCTAATGAAAGCCGTTACTGGTGCCCTGGAAGCTTAATGACTGAAGCCTGGTCTACACTAGAGCGGAAGGTTGACTTAAGATACACAACTCCAGTGACATTAACATAGCTGGTGTCGACATATTTTAAATTGCTGTCCAGACAGCGGGTGGTCGATGAGAGGAAATGTTCCCATCAGCTTACTCTTATTCATGGAGCTTACTCTGTTTGTAAATTTATGCATTAGAAATGGAATCACTCTGTTTTGAACTATCCTTGAAGATTAAAATGTGGGGTTTTTACAGCTGTCGGAGGTATGCTTAATGTACTTGATATTAAACTTCATTCTCCCACACATGTACTGAAATAAAAGACTCTTTAAAAATGGAAGGAAAAAGAGATTTGCTGTAGTAATCATAAGCAATGGAATATGGACAATCTTAACATTCTTCAATATTGTACAAACAAAGCCATGGTCCATCTAAAACAGACATCTCTGTATTACTCTTAGCTTTAAAAAGAGTGCTGGGGTCAGGGTAAAGGTTGTCTGATTTTGAACCAGAAACCAGAAGCTGCTGGTTGTGCTTCTAATAGTAACAATAACAGTACAGGTAGGAGGAATGTTGTGCAACTCTTCCTTTGTATTCTTCCTTGAAATATTATTAATCGGAAATCATTACTTGCTTGGTACTCTCTGTGAAACTACTGACAGTGAAAATTTTATTACTAAATACAACTAAAGCTGTTGTCAAATGCATTCTTCACCTCCCAGTACTGGTACAACCATTATTTACCAGCATATCATAAGTTTCTTGTCCTTTTGCCATAAATTAAATGAGTGCATGAGGCCTCAGGCTTAAGGAGGATTGAAATAAGTAGATGAGTAAGGATACATCTGTGCCGGTAAAGTTACAAAATCACTGTAAAGAATGGTCTGGTAGCACTTTAAAGACTAACAAAACATGTAGATGGTACCATGAGCTTTTGTGGGCACAGCCCACTTCTTCAGATGACCGGAGTTATGACTATAGGATAAGAAAACTCGAAATAAATAGGTCATCTAAAGAAGTGGATTGTGCCCACAAAAGCTCATGATACCATCTACATGTTTTGTTAGTCTTTAAAGTGCTACCAGACCATTCTTTACAGTGATTTTGTAACTTTACCGGCACAGATGTATCCTTACTCATCTACTTATTTCAATCCTCCTTAAGCCTGAGGCCTCATACGGCTAAGCTGAAATCGTACAGATCTCAGCCTGAAGCCCTGCATTATAGCCCTGCTTGTATTCCTAATTCACAGTCTTTTCTCCTTATCAATCTTTATATATACACCTCAATAATCTGCTCCTATTTATATGCATATTAATTACCTATGGAATAACATGTGAGTTAACCATAATGATAGATAACACAATTAAATGATAAAATGAACTAATTGGCTGCCAAATTGAGTGTTTATTTCTTTTTGTATAATTAGTAGACAAGCTCATACCAAAACCCTGGACCCCGCATAGATAGATATAGATATGGATGTTTAGAGAAAGTTTCTGTCCATCCATGAGTCAGTTTGTTCAAGAACTCCTCCTAAATGGTAAGAGCTAGGATCACCAGATTTGGTATGCAGCTCCTTGTTATCCTGACTTCAAGCAAGATCGGGGTTTGGTTGTGCTAGGAATAGAGGATGTGACTGGAATGGAATTGTTTCCTGTAACATAGGAAGAAGGAGGCTTAGAGAAGGGACAATCATACTGCAGAGTGACCACTGGAAACAGCGAATGTGGGGGACAGTTATACTGCAGTA